TTTGGGGTAACAGAAATGTTCTGGAACAGGACAGAGGCGGTAACTGGGTAACACTGTGAAGACACTGAATGCTACTAAATTATTCACTTCAAGATAACTGTACATTATCTGAATCATGTGCCATTAAAAACACAAATTTTTAAAAATGTGCCCCTCTGGTACTGTAATTCCTTCTGAAAAATCACACACGTGGACAAGCGTTATACCTGGGCCAAGTAGGCGTCGTAATCTATATTCTGTAATCCAGAGGCTGCAAAGGCCTCAAGGTTTTTTCTTCCTTCTGCATCCAGCAGGACAATGCCGTCGAGTTGTAAGTTCAGATGGTCAAGCTGGCTCATTATGTTTCCAGTATGCTGTGTGAAACAAGTTTTATTTACTTTTTATTTACTTATTTATTTTTAATGTATTTGGTGCAGGATCTCACTAAGTAGCTCGGATACCTAGTGATCCTCCTGTCTCAGCCTTCCCAGCACTGGGATTACAAGCATGTACCACCATGCCCAGTCTTGGTGGTGGCTTGGGGATGGGGATGGGGGTGGCATGGCATGGGGTGTTGGGGATCAAATTCTGGTCCTTGTGCTTGCCTAAGTAGGCATTTAGTCCACTGAGCTATCTCACCAGTCCTCAAAACAAGCTTTATTTATTTTTTTTGAAACAAGCTTTAAACCAGTCCATTATTTTCAAAAAATGTCACCAATTTAATGTTTTAAAGGGGCAATAAAATTATATAGGCAGAACATTTACATGCATTTGATGGGCATTCCTTGCTTCCATTCCTGTGTTCTTTGTCCATGGAAGGTGCACTGTCTATTTTCAAAGACCTTAAAAGGAACTAGGGTGTCATAAGTATTGGACATGAACTCCACCGGGACACCCAGGAGAAAGAACTCAAATACCACATGGGCTGGAGGAACAGGAGAGATAAGGTCACTTATGAACTCCCAGCCTTGACAAACAGAGATGCTGGGAGAAATGGGGTGGGCTGGAATTCCAGGGAGGAGACCAGCAAAGCCAGGGTTGGGTAGTAGGAAGACATGGAAGATGCCATCTGGAAACAGTGTCTGGTTATGTGGGCAGAGAGCATGGCAGCGAGGCTACTGATCTGGAGTTGTCCTAGTGGCCTGCTGATGGTTGCTGGCAGCATGAGAAAGGTGGAACTCTCTCAACTGCAGCCCAGTGTGGCACAGGAGAAGTGGCCTACAGTGTGATGGGCAGGGAGGCGGGTTTCTAGTTGGAGTTTATTTACAAAACTCTACCCTGTTTATGGACACGTGAGGGGTGCTTAGAGGACCAAATCAGTGCAAAATTTATATGCAACTTTCAAATAAAGCTCCTCAGCTCCTCCCATTTGAGAACTGTCATCATGGCCTCATGGTCACTTCCATGCTGCCTCAGTAGGAAACTTGTAGGGCTTGCAGCTGATCTCCTTCAGAACCTCTCGGGATCTGCTCTCATTCTGGAAACCCCAAAGTAGGAGACCTCTGGGTCCTTCCCGGCTGATGATGCCCTAGCCCTAAGCAGCAGGGACTCTCCTGTTTCCTTCTGCCTCATGTGTTTTGGACTGGTCCTTTTTCAGGGTCTTAAGACTCAGATTAGGGTAGGAACTTCAGCAAAGCAGGCAAGAGGGTCACTGTCTGCTTCTACCTTCCTGCTTCTTGCCAAGGGCCAGCAGAGGCCATCTTGGGGGCTGGACAACACACGACACACAGGAGTGAGGACAGTGTGGGCCACACTTCTTGATCTGGGCACTGAGGGACAAGGGGGTGGTGGTTTTCGAGCAGTAGGACTTTTCCTACAGGATCATCAACACTCAGCGAAATGAAATCTTTTCCTGGGAAGGTTTTCTTTTTTTTTTGGCGGAACCGGGGATTGAATTCAGGCCCTTGCGCTTGCCAGGGAAGCGCTTATTCCACTGAGCCATCTGCCTGGCCCCTCTGGGAAGGGTTTTAAGTGAGGTCCCTCTGAGGATCTTGGGTGATCAACTAGGAAAACTTAAGCCACAAAACAGACCAGTGGGTGAGGTTGAGAAAATGGTGTCGAATTTGATGAAGGTGAAGACTGCACAATCCTGTGGATGTACAATATGCCACTGGAAGAGGGCATATTATATCTTAGAGAATTTCACATCCATTTCAACACAAAGAAAGACAACCGTGTTGGGTGCCACCATGAAGTACATGGCAGGTTCTGCAGACTCACCTTCTCAATGTTGAGCTCCTCAGTGACGTTGAAGTAATTGTCCAGCTTAAGCGTGGTGTAAAGACCTTTATTATTTTTGCAATCACTGTGGGAAGATACAGAAATCATGACCCAGAAGAGCAGCGTGGCTCCCTGCACCCACTGCTAAGGATAAGGCCAGAGCCGGTTTCTCATTGTGCAATCTGTGGATGCCCAAGTGGGTTCCATGTGCCATCTGTGGCCAAAAGAACCTACAGGACTCACTACTCCTGATGCCTTTCCCTGTCTTAGTTTTGCTACTGAAATAATGGGACTGACTAACACATCATTCCTTCTATTTCCTGTACTGCTGTGGACAAGTTTATAAATAGGGAAGAAATAAACTCTTAGAGATGCCCTACAGAGTTTATCATGGGCTTTGTTAAAGCCCTTGTCATGACCGTCTCTCCTCTGTATTTCCAGCATTTTGACTTCACTAGATAGATAGATGCTTGGACATCTACAGCTGAGGCTGTGCCAGGCTGGGGTGTGCACCTATCTAGACACTCAGGCGAGTGTGTCTATAAACCCAGCTCACAATTGGCCCATCAGAATGCTGACCTTACCAGTGGATTCAGACCCTGCGCTTGCTCACAGGCACTTTAATCCCCTGAGTCATTTGGCCAGCCCTAAATGAATAATTAAAAAATAAACAAATGCTACGGAATGGGGAGCAAATGGAATTGTCCAAGGTCATGGGGTGGCCTGTTAGCTGGGACCAGCCCTACAATGACATCATTACTGTGATACCTGGGATTTGGACCATTCACTGAATTCTCAGGGTCCCCTAAATGCACCTTAGGGTCACCTTATCCATAGAGTCCCGGGACACCTTGCAAGCAGAACCCCAAGACATCACTATGCCCAGGATTCAAGGGTTTTGGGCTCAGGATTATCTTTCCGGTCTCCTTAAGGAACAGCGGAGCTTTGGAACTGAAAAGTCTTATGAGAAGGGGTAAAAGAAACACTTTGAAAGCAAAATTCTAGCTCTGGAGAAAAGGCATTTTATGCAGCAAAATATGTAACACAATTACTGATACCTGTAAACTTGTTCAAAAGTGAGTTTAACATTGGGCTTTTTGAGTACCATGCCAGAGAGATAGTACTTCCACTCCTCATTCAGTAAGTAGGGCGTGTCTAACACCTAGGACAGATGAAATGACATTTTGGAAAGAAGCTTCACACGACCATATATATATTAAACATTTTTGAGACTTTTTCATATTGTGATATTTCTCCCCAACTTCCAACTTGAAATAAATCAATTAACAACTGAGTAACACCAAAGTTACTGAAAGTTATTTTTTTTTTTTTTTGAGAACTTAATTTTACTTCAGCAAACAAATTAGAAACTAGAGAACAGCAGGAATTTTGCTTCCAAATAGTTAAATCAAAATCAGAAGCTACAGACCTAACTCTTCTCTACTTCTCTCTGGACAAAATGAATTAACTCATACACGCTTGCCTCTGCCCCACATATGTTTAAGGTGGACAAACGGATCAGGACTGTGGATGTACCTGCTAAGGCCCAGTGAATAGCGCTTGTTAGGGTTGATGCATTGTGTCAACTGAGAGGTCTAGAAACTTATTTAAGTGACTAGCAGGGGCCAGGCTCCTCACTGTGTAATCATCCTCATCCTGTACAAGAGGAGGGCAGGAGATGGCGTGAGTGCTGCACCCACCTGTGTGTGTGTGTGTGTGTGTGTGTGTGTGTGTGTGTGTGTGTAAGCCTGCTTACGATATAAGGGAGGAAAACAAGCTTGCTTTCCCCCCTTGTTCTCGTTGCTTTTGCTGCCTTCTGCGGTCCTTGCGCCTTGATGCTCTGCCTTGGAGCCAGCCAAGTGTAGAATGAAACCTCCACAAACTCGGAGCTAAACAAACCTTTCCTCCCTTCATTTTCAGTGTTGAGTATTTTGTCTCAACAAAGAGAGCAAAGTAACCACACATCCCTCATCTGACATGCTGGCAACGTGAAGCGTTTCAGAATTTTTTTCTGACTTTGGAATAATTACATAAAGGGGACAGGATTCAAGTTTAAAAATGGAATTTATATATATTTTATATGTTCCTTAGACACACACCACAAGGGTAATTTTATACAGTATTTTAAATTATTTTATACATGAAACAAAGCTTCAGGATGTGGAATTTTCCCATTTGTGATGTCATGTCAGTGCTTAAAAGCTTCAGAGACTGGAAAATTCTGGATTTCAGACTTTTTTGGATTGGGGTGGTCAATCTGAATAAATGCTTTTGAAATAGCCCTTACTTTTAAAGAATTACTTTTAATGATTCAATACTGCAGAGCAGGTAATAGAGCCTGGCTTGGAATCTTCTTAGTATTATTAAAAGGCCAAGTGAAAACAACGTGAGTCCTCGCACTCCCAATTCAATCTCCCTTAACCGAACTAACACCCAAACACCGTCACCATGACAACTATCTACCTCCCCGACTTTCATGTGATGTCACTGCAGACCTGAGGTGGGAAATACACACACAGTGAAAGAGGGGAAGGAAAGCTTATGTCAAACATCAAAATCTGGAGGCAAACACTGAGCACCCGAGTCAGGAGCCAGGGACGTGCAGCAGCAGGCGCGATTCCGACAGAGCCCCGCGGGCTGCGGGAGCTGGTCTGAGAAGGAAAGTGAAGCCCAATCTCAGCTCCTGAGTGTCTCATGGGACAGCCTCAGGGACAATCCCCTGATCAAGGTGTCCTTTGTTGGGCCCTTTCACTTCATATGCACTGCCCCAGCTCACCTAGGTGGAGGATGTGGACCGCAGGATCTCCTTACAATGTCAGAAACCTCCACAGGGGTGTGGGAAAGCAGGGCACTTCCCTCCTCGCCTCACCTTCTCGGTCACTCCAAGGACCTTTCCTGAGCACTGCTTTCGCTGTACGGGGCTGGAGCCCACTGACAGCCACTGAGCTGTATCCCAGCCACTCTGAAAACCTTATTTTGATTTTTCTAATTTTAAAAAAATCTATATATTTGTTTATTTGGTACAGGGTCTCGCTACACAGCTCAGACCCACAGCGATGCTCTGGTCTCAGCCTCCTTAGGCTAGGATTACAGACGTGCGTCACCATGCCTAGTTTCAGGGGCCAGCACGGCAACCATACTAGCAATTGGACTTGGTTCCGTGACCTTGCCAGGCAGGGGCTTAGACAGCCAAGCTGTCTCCCAAGCCTAAACTTTTATCTTGATACAGACTCCTGATAAATACTGTAGACGGGCCTCTAACCTGTGATCCTCCTGCTCCAGCCTTCTGAGTACTTGGGATTACAGGTGTGAGGCATGATTTTTATTCACTCATATTAAAATTGGCATGGGTGTACAGGCCTTAATTCCTGGCACTGACTTCATATATAATCAGAAAATAAGAATACTATTAGACACACATGTATATGTTTATGAATACTATTATATACTTCAAGTATATGAATACTCATATAGTGTTATGGAAAATATGTGTACTACTATACATATATGTATAAGTATATACTATTATATGTGAATACTATTCATGTATAAAAATATATGAATATTATTATGTCTTGTGTATATATAACTGTGTATATATGTATATGTATGTGTGTGTATGTATGTGTACATATATAAATTTTTCCCTCTTATAAGCACAGTCTCAACTTGTAGAATTAAAATCAAGGGCCGGCGAGATAGTTTAGCTATCTAAAGCACCTGCTTAGTAAGCTTAGGCAGGCGCAGGGGACCGCAGTTCACTGCCCGGCACCGCACCCTGCGCCAGCCCTGCCCTCTGGGTGGGCTGAGCTGGCCAAAAAACAAATAAATAAATAAAACCAGCTGGGATGAGCCACCCATGCCTGGAATCCCAGCATGCTGGGAAGCTGCGGCAGGAAGATTGTAAACTTGAGGCCACCCAGCATGGGTAACTCAGCAAGACACTGTCTAAAATTAAACCAAGCCAAACCAAATCAACCCAACAAACAAAAAAGAAAACTACTCATGTTTTTATACTGCTCTTGAAGTAGCCCACAAGTTACGGCAAAATCCAGGCGCCCCTTCAAGTCCTGCCACAAGGAAGAGCAAACCATGGTTACCTGGAATAACTTCCTGTTGGCGTACGGTTCACAGACCAATTTTTCCACATTGACACCAATGATAAAAGTAAGAACGACGAGTGTCATCAATAGCCAGCAAAAGAGGAAAACTAAGCCGACCCCACTGTAAGAGAACACGAAGAGTTAGCAACTCTACAGCAAGGATTTGAGGCCGCTGACCAGCACCTACTCCCTCCACCTACTGGTGGTGTAGAATGGGGCTGGAGTCCTCAACAGACTGCAAGATGAACAGGTCCCTGCCTGGGAGTACACTGCGCTCTTCCTGTCCCTGGCTTGCAATGAGGGCACCCTTAGGATGGCAGTGCCTGCTCCACCTGCCAGGGCCAGAGCCTGGCTCCAGGGTTGGGTGAGAACCAGGCCTCTCGGCAAAAGTGACAGAAGTGGAGAGGTTGGTCGCAGGCTGGAAATGTGCCCTGGAGACTCTGAAAGGGGCTGCCATGGCCCTCTATCTGCACGGTGCAGGAGAGTGGCATGAGGGCCACTTTGGGGGCAGGGAGGGGGCTGGGGTGGGGCTGAGAGGGAGCCCAGGAGGGGAAGCCATGGAAAAGCGCAGGACCAGCACAGTGCAAGGATGGATTGTGCAGGTGTCCCTGTGACTGGGCATTGCTGGGGATGGGGACCATGACAGGGGCTGGGACGTGGCCCAATGGGTCTGCTGGTGTGGAGAGAAGTCAATGGGTGAGAGACACAGCATGGCAGGCAGGAGCAGCTGGATAAGAGATGAAGTCAGGAGGGGCTGAGGGCAGTGGCAGGAGCACCGGTCTCTGCACCTGGCTGGAGAGAAGCTGGAGTGGCCACTGGTCAGAGCCACTAGGAGGAAGGTGCTGTGCAGGGGCTTGAGGGCAGACATCTGGTTAGAGTGCAAGAGATGTCACAGTGAGCATCTGTCACCAGGGCTGGTGGGGAGAAGGAAGCAGCCCTGGCCTGGCTGCTATGCCAAATGGTGGCAGGACAGCAAATGAACAAGAGCAAGGACAAGAGCCAGAGAGATAGCTCAGCAAACTAAGTGCCTGCTTAGGCGAGCACAGGGGCCGGGGTTCAAACTCTGGTCCGGCATGCTGCACTGGCCCTGCTCTTGGGCACACTGAGCTGGCTATGGAGACTGGGCGTGGTGGTGCGTGCATTTAATCCCAGTGCTGGGGAGGCTGAAAACAGGAGGATCACTACGAGTCCAAGCTGCATAGTGAGACCCTGTACCAAATACACTGAGGGAGGGAGGGAGGGAGGGAGAGAGAGGTATCACAGAAGCAGGATGGGCATGTGGGGCATGAGGTCACCAAGGGGGAAAGGAGAGTTTGTGTGGCAGAGGGGGCAGTGGCAGCAAGCCACTGCAGACACTGCTGCCCTGCTCTCCTGAGACCAGAGGTTGCTGCTGATTAGACAAAGTGGGGTGACAGCAGAGAAAGCTGAAGCAAAGTCCCACCAGACTCAAGGAGCTGCAGCGACCATCAACAGGGGATGTCCCTGTTTCTATTTCTTTCAAAGCAGATATTAGTTGTTGCGATGCTAAAACCAGTGTGGCTTTTATAAAACAGTGCCCCTGGTGAAGCAGTCATAAAGATGAGGCACAATCACCACCAAAACACAGGTAAAGCGCCCCAAGATCAGGGTTCCTCAGTTGTTCAGAGTGAACTAACTTCGCACCTGCTTCTGTGTATTTGTACAGAAAAGCCCAGCAAACACATTTTCCCTTGCTGGTATAATTTCTTCTCACTTGTCCTTCCCTGACCAGAGATACCTGTGTCTGAATGTATTTCTTAAATCTAGGCTTCTCATGCATGGGATTCTTTCTCAGGCCCTGGAGCCCCCAGGTCACTGGCTGTCAGGGTATCTTGATGGCACTGATGCCTATAGCAAGGACAGCAAAGGCTGGCTCTATACTGCAGCCTAATTGTCCTGGGAAAGGACTTAAGACTTGGGGCTCATAAGAAACTCAATGAATTATTACGGTGACCCATGTTTAAAAGACATTGGTGTCCGCCAGCTACTTTCCCGCCCTCCCTACCCGCACACTAGTGATATGCAGAGGAGAACGAGAATTGTACCCGATGTCTCGGTCTTCTGCTTCTCGAAGGAGTTGCTGTGGGTCTTTCAGCCACGTCAGACACCCAACAGCTGAGTTGCAAAGAGCTCATTCTAAAAGTGTGATGCACTGGCTCTGTCCCTGGGCAGCCTGCTCCAGGGAAGGCCTTCTAAAGGCATGAACTTGGACATGGATGTGTATGAACCAGGGACACTCGCTCTGGGCTGCCATTGGCGTGGCATTCACTGGCATCTTGCACTCACGCTTGTCTCTAGTTGAGGCTGCTTGTCAACGTCCTAGAGATGCTAGTAGGGAGAACTCAGTGACCTCAAGTTGCGAGAGCTCCAAGTTGGGAGCTCTGCTGACCATGGAGAAGGGTGTCTCAGAGCAGGCCGGCTCAGCTTCTGATGAACAGACGAGTGAATGAATAAGGTAAAGAAGGAGCGATGCTCCATAACATGATTTGATATTGCATTAATACACAGTGGAGGGCTATTCTGCCACGAAGAAGGTTAAACCTGAGCCATTGGTAGGAAAACGGATGCACCTTGAAACCATAATGTTAAGTGAAATCAAAGTGACACATAACTTATATACTGCCTATGTTTATAGCAGCACAATTTGTGATAGCCAAATCTTGGAAACAACAAAGATGCCCATCATCTGAGGAATGGTTGAAAAAGATGTGGTATTTTTACACAATGGAGTATTACTCAGCTATAAAGAATGATAAACTCGAAGCCTTTATATTGAAGTG